TTGCATATTGGGGTGGATGAGTTGTACAAAGTTGGAATAGTTTGAATGGATGTTTGTGGCTGAGTGAGTTCGTCAGAATATGGCCTGAGAATCCCGCTAATTGAAAGATATTCTGAGTGCCCCAATGATTGTTTGGCTTGGTCATCTCTGTGTCGAGGCCATTATAATTGTCGAGGCCATTATAATAGTTAGCTGAGTCGTACTGGGTGTATACATGGCCTTCGTTGTCGTGATGATGGGATTGATCGGTGTAATTCCCCAAGGGTTGATATCCAGTGCCACTAAGATCCATAAGCGAGTGACCAGAGGTAAGATTGACAAGCAGGTGACCCGAGCTAAGTTCAGTAAGCGGGCCAGAGCTAAGATCGGTAAGGGGGTGGCCAGAGCTGACATCAATAATCGGGTGACCGGGGCTAACATCAAGAATCGGGTGGCCAGACTGGTCAAGCTCAGAGTAGCCGTAGTGTTGATTGTTTGACTGCATTGGTGTTGATGCTGACGGGGGGACGAGGTGTTGATGCTGACGGAGGGACGCGGTGTTGATGCCGAACAGAGGGACGCGGTGTTGATGCCAAACAGAGGAACACAGTGTTGATGCGATGCCGAACAGAGGAACGTGGTGTTGATGCCAAACGGAGGGACAAGGTGTTGACAACAAGCGGAGGGACGATTGATTGGGTGTTGCTTGGCTGACGATGCAGGTTCGGTGATTTCTGCCTGGTTAAAAGCCGGTTACTACACAGACAAAGACCGGGTTATGTACCTGTACCAACCAGACAGGACACAACCGGCAACTGGGTTTTTTTTGTGAGTGTATAATAGTGCATACTTTCACATACATAGTTGTCACTTAAATACATAGACAGGACTTGTCGAAGTAACTTGTGCTTCGGTATGTAGCCTTTAGCTACTGAGAGACTGTTTGGAGTATGACCGGTGTGGGCTCCCATGTCATACTCTGGAAATGAATCTGGGGGGGAATCCCAATCCGGGATTGGGATTGGGATTGGAATCGGGATTCAATCTAAAACCAGGTGATTTGCACTTTGGAGGGGTCTTCACATGCATTTCTTCCTGCACTTCTCTAGTGTAGGAAAGGGGAGGTCAAAGGTCATTCTCTTCCGATCTCTTCAGGTTGTACTTGCAAGTCATGGCCCCACTTGAGCCCACTTGTGTTGAGGCACAAGCCAGCTAGAGCCAGACATCATATATTTACTTGATTGTCTATTTGTACTTGATGCCTTCAACCGGATCATCGTTGAGCCGGTCGAGTTATTTTCCTCTCTTTTTCTTCTAGTCACTGTGGTCTTATAGTCATTGCCATTCCGTCAAGCTGGAGCAAGACCATATCTAACTGGGAGCGAGTGTCTTCTTGGCATTCGTAAGTCTACCTTTGGCTATCCGTAGTTTGACAAGGCTTGTCTCACCTGCCTTCACATGCTCCGGATTCATAGACCCAGGAACGGACGAAAAGACCATTGTTCTATCGGATCCTCTTATCGCCATGCTGCCCAGGCCCTCTTCCAACCTGAACCACAATCGATTCATCTTTCCCTCTGATCAAACCGGCTTAGAAGCAGCCAATAGTTCAGGCGACGAAGCGCTTGTGCCATACACTCTGCTCTCTGATGAGCAAGATTCTCCCCCAAACACGCCTGCTCCTGTCGCCTCTGCTGGAGCTCCCAAGGCGACCCTGAGTAATATTCGGCCGATCTCGAACGACTTTCTGAACATTCTCAAGCAGCCCTCAAGCAAAAATCAAGATAGTCAAATCACAAGTGCTGTCGCCATGGATAAGCGATTTGCTGACACCAACGAGCGGGCAGCAATAGTAAGTGTTATGATAGTTTGATTGCTGCATCTGCTGGCGACTCCGCTCGCGACCTGATTTTTTTTTTTTTGTGTTGTCCTGCCTTTCTTTAGCTTGAACAACAGGCGAGGCAAATCTTGCGTAACATATCTTGGTCTGGTGGTGAAGAATTCTTCCGACCCGCCCAAAGTTCCTTCATGGCCGCCGTCACGTCGCCCAAGTCACGTTTGCCACGTCGAGCCTCTCCCAGCATCCCAGCCTTGCCAGTTTGCTCGAGCAGACCCAGTAGCTCGACTGGCAGGAACAATGTCCTGCCATCTCATAAGAGCGCGACGAACATCGAGCTTACGGCAGCATCGACGCAAAGCAAGGAAAGCCTCAACTCACCACATCCAGAGCTTTCCTTATCCTCCGATCTCTCCAGTTTACCCAGCAGCCCAGCACCTCGATCATCTGGGAATTGCGAACGAGTCTCGAAGGTCAAGCATCCGAAAAACCTAGGCCCACCACCAGCCACCGAACCCAATGAGACGGGACAATACGAATCCTATACCTGCCATCAATGCCGTGTCAAAACCACCCGGCCAAAGATGATCTGTGATCAATCACAAAATCCCAACTGTTTCAGTCGAGTCTGTTGCAACTGTTTGCTGAATCGAGCGGTATACAACGGCATCCCCGAGCTCCAGCCTCCAATATTCCAGTTTGTCCCAGGCGGTAAGATGCTGTGTGTGAAATGTAGGGGCATCTGTCCTTGTGCGCCTTGTCGGAGGAAGCGGGGTGAAAATGTAGAGTATCGACAACGGCAGGGTGGTGGTCTGAAAGGCTCGGACTTCACGCCACAGGAAAGGCAGAACACGCCGTTGAAGAAAAAGAAGAAGAAAAAGCAAGACAAGACCCAAGGGAAGGGACCATCCCGCCCCTGCCCAGAACTCATAAAATCATCATCAGTCGTGCGCAATCGACCTTCAGCATTTGTCCCGGTTCCCCCAAAGCGCAGGAAAAGCGAAGCGACGGTATCTTCCGATGATATAGTTTTCTTGGACCAAGCTCCAGCAATCTCGACCGACAAACTTAGTCAAACTGAGCCTGCCATTTTGCCCATTTCATCTGATGAGGGAAGCAGGGTTCCAGAGAAATTAAAATGCCCATCGAGTGAGAGACCAATCACCATTCAGGAAAAACACACCAACTCCAGAAGAGAGTGGTTTGACCGGAGTTCTACGGAGCCAATTGCTATCGAGCCCAAACGGGGACGAGGTCGGCCGCGCAAAGAAAACTCTTGCGCCAGCGAACAATGTCAGCAGCTCCGCTTGGAATCAGGGAACAAATGTGATTGCGACACCAACAACATACTGGCTATTCCGAAACGGGGACGAGGCCGGCCGCGAAAAGAGACATCTTGCGCTAACCAACCTGATCAAAGTCGTCCCTACAAACCGGAAAAGGATTGTAATCGGACGGTGGACAAGACACTGATGCAGATCAATCGACTCGTACGGCCCAACTCTGAGGCCGGATCCGGCATGGCCTCAATCCTGCATATTAACAAGGAAAACACTCCGGACTCGAAGATGGCCCAGTACCCTCATGTGGAACGCTCCGATAAACAGTTCAAGCTCAAGATTCGCGAATTCGAACTCAAGAACGCCGCCGATGAGGCCGAGAGATTGCGGATCAAGTCGCAGGGCTTCGAGAAGGCTAAGATGTTGCAAGAGTTGCTCAAGTCTGGGTTGAGTTATAAAGAGGCTATGGAGGCTACCCTTACTTTTCTTGGCCCGTCAGCTTGATCACCACTCCAATTTTAAATTATCAAGCTCACTTTGTTCAAAAGTTTCATAAATCGATGAAATCGTCCTTTTAAAACCTGCTGGTTCTCATTTGTTTTCAAAGTACCATGAGAAATTTGAGAGCTCACTCCCATCAATTTGCTGGTTTCAATGTGGTGATTGACTGATTCATCAATCTTGAATGGACAAATCTTGTGCAATATGTTGGTGAGAATCATAACCAAATCCAGGTTGAGTTTCATCAAATCATTTTCAAAGTATTCTGTCTTTGAATACATGGAAAAAGGATTTTCACCCAAATTTTCCACTGGAATCTGCAACACCCGGTTTTTCAGGTTTAGAGGATCCCATATTTCCTTGTTATAAATCCTTCAAAATATTTACGAGTTTTTTTCCTTGACATCCGATGATCCGCAGCATCTGAGCCAAGGCCAGCTCAATTGGTCTTTCTATGTGATTCCCCCTTTCTTGGTTCCAAAGTGAGGGGAAGAGAAAATCAACCTCATATTCGGAACCGGAGACAGAACTCTGCTCTGGTCCACCCCCCGATCATGCTTGTGCAGGTCGCCAACCTCATCACTGTTGCACTTGAGAAAAGCGGGTGGTTGCAAGGTGAAGGCGGTGGGTGGCAGGCTGTGGCCGTGGGATAGTAGGGGCAAAAGCCCAAGGAAAAAAATAAGAAAAAACACAGATCTGAGGATTTTCAAATCCATAATCAAAACCAGAAGAATCGGTTTGAGTCCAACAATTATAAAGTCTATTTGTACTTGATGACTTCAACCGGATCTCCGTTGAGCCGGTTGAGTTAATTTCCTCTCTTTTTCTTCTACATGGTCATTGTGGTGACTGGTCAGTCATTGCCATTCCGTCAAGTGAGTGTCTTCTTGACATTCGTAAGTCTACCGTTGCCTATCCGTAGCTTGACAAGGCTTGTCTCACCTGCCTTCACATCCTCTGGATTCATAGACCCAGGAACGGATGAAAATACCATTGTTCTATTGGATCCTCTTATCGCCATGCTGCCTAGGCCCTCTTGCAACCTGGACCACAATCGATTCATCTTTCCCTCTGATCCAGCCGGCTTAGATTCAGAAGCAGCCAATAGTTCAGGCGACGAAGCGCTTGCGCCATACACTCTGCTCTCTGATGAGCAAGATTCTCCCCCAAACACGCCTGCTCCTGTCGCCTCTGCTGGAGCTCCCAAGTCGACCCTGAGTAATATTCGGCCGATCTCAAACCCTCTCGCAAATAATTTTCTGAACATACTCGAGCAGCCCTCAAGTAAAGATCAAGATAGTCAAATTACCAGTGCTTTCGCCATGGATAAGCGATTTGCTGACACCAACGAGCGGGCAGCAACAGTAAGTGTTATGATAGTTTGATTGCTGCATCTGCTAGCGACTCCGCTCGCGACCTGATTTCTTTTTTGTGTTGTCCTGCTTTTCTTTAGCTTGAACAACAGGCAAGGCAAATCTTGCGTAACATATCTTGGTCTGGGGGTGAAGAATTTGTGAGAATTCAAAAGCTTAAGGATTGCAATTTTAAAGTCAGCTCATGGTGCGACACATGAGGTAGAGGAGAGAGAAAAGACAACTGGTTCACACCTTAAGGGCAGGGGTACAAGGTGATGAGGCAGGTATAAAGAGATAGGAAAGGAAACAAGATCGTTCTGGACGATGTAAAAAGTATAAGACAAGAAAAGGTAAGAATGGAAGCGGTGCAGAGCACAGAAAAAGGTTTAGGTGAAAAGAGTCGCGGAAGGAGGTCGTCGCGAGTGGTTTAAGAGGTGCAGAGCACAGAAAGAGGTTTAGATAAGAAAGGAGTCGCGGAAGGAAGTCGTCGCGAGTGGTTTAAGATGAGAATGCAGGAGTATGGTGATGTTCGGTGAGTTTTTACGGAGAGGGTGTGAGGATGGTTTGACCTGTTTAGATAACGGATGACAGATGGGGTAAACTGAGAAAAGGAAAGAAGTCAGGTTCCTTTTATGTGCTTTCAGTTTTTGGTTTGTCGCTGTGCTTACTATAATGCTCAGGTGAATCATCGCTGCCAGGCTTGCGCCATGGTTCAGTCGGTAGGGTCTTTGTGACCAGATTGGTCCGTCCCTTGATCCTCGTTGCCTAAGGTAACGGTAAGGGGTATTTGGTTAGCCATGGCACTGGTTATATCACAGTCCAGTTTATGTTTTGATTGGTACTTACAACCAGTTATGTTTTCAAGGAAACGATCAGCCTGATCAGGGGTCCGGGCTTGATCGAGGTTGTCATTCTGACAGAATTCTTCCGACCCGCCCAAAGTTCCTTCACGGCCGCCGCCTCGTCGCCCAAGTCACGTTTGCCACGTCGAGCCTCTCCCAGCATCCCCGCCTCGCCAGTTTGTTCGAGCAGACCCAGTAGCTCAACCGGCAGAGACCATGTCCTTCCATCTCAGAAGAGCGCGACGGACATCGAGCTTACGGCAGCATCGACGCAAAGCAAGGAAGGCCTCAACTCAGCTCATCCAGAGCTTTCCTTATCCTCCAATCTCTCCAGTTCACCCAGCAGCCCAGCACCTCAATCGTATGGGAATTGCGAACAAGTCTCAAAGGTCAAGCATCCGAAAAACCTAGGCCCACCACCAGCCACCGAACCCGATGAGACGGGACAATACGAATCCTATACCTGCCATCAATGCCGTGTCAAAACCACCCGACCAAAGATGATCTGTGATCAATCACACGATCCTAACTGTTTCCGTCGAGTCTGTCGCAACTGTTTGCTGAATCGAGCGGCATACAACGGCATCCCCGAGCTCCAGCCTCCGATATTCCAGTTTGTCCCAGGCGGGAAGATGCTGTGTGTGAAATGCAGGGGCATCTGTCCTTGTGCTGACTGTCGGAGGAAACGGGGTGAAAAGGAAGAGAATCGAAGGGGGCTGAATTTGAATAATGGCTTTTATGGGTTGACACCCGAGGATAAGGAGAAGGCGCTGATGAAGAATAAACGAAATCGAGAAAAGGCCGTGCTGAAAAAGGCCTCCCGTGCCCGCCTAGACCTGGTCAATCCAGTACCCTCCGTGGGTGATCAAGCTTCGGAAGTCCCCTCAGGACCCCTGACGCGGAAGAAACAACTCAAGGAGCCATGGTCAGACGACATAATCTGCTTGGATCAAGCTCCAGCGACTTCGTCCGGCAAACCTAGCCAAACTAAGCCTGTCCGTCGGCCCATCTTACCCGCTGAGGGAACCGGGGTCACCGCGAATATAAACCGCCAATCGAACAAGAGACCACTCACAAATCAGACAGATCACACTGCCCTCATGAAAGATTTTGGAAACTAAAGGTATTTATTTCTTTATAAGTTATCTTTTCTTCTAATACATAATACAATCAAAATTAGTATAATGAAAAGACTTTTACCTAAAGGCAGAATAATATCTGAACTAGGTAAAAGAGAAAAGAAAATAATGATAAAAGAATAATATAACGCTGTAACTTCTGCGGATAAATGTGAGTTGATAGTCTAAATTCAAGAGACAGAAATTGATCAGTTAAGCGGTCTATTTTCTCTTGATCGATATAGACAGTAATAAAGAATATAACTGTACTTGTTGATTGAGCCAGTTATTTCTTTATTTTAATTTCAACTTGTTTTATTTGTTTGTTGAATCTAATTATGAGTAATAAATGATCGAATGACATTTGTTAGTCTTATTATCTTATTCTCTTTCTTTTAAATTAAAAGAAAGGCTTTTTACACTCACCGATGGACGATGAGGATATTCGGTCGATAAGAGTGATTGATGCGTTGCGATTGTCAGAACTGAGAATGATTTTGTCAAGTTGATTGAATGATCGTTAGCGATCATTCCGTCTACTTGAATGTCAACATCAAGACTCACCTAGAGCTCGATGGTTGACGATCATCATCGTTTACATTCATGACGTCATTAACGTCATACTCTTTTTCACAAGCTTGTCGCTTGGCTAGAGATTCAGACTCTATGAATTCTATGCATGACCGAATATACATGATCAGCATGACAGATAATCTTCTCTAGGTAGCTTACAATCAACGTGTAAAGCTTACCTGCAACTCTCCTCTTTCGAGGGCTAATTTCATTGCTGAAATTCCAACAGTCATCCGTGCTTTGAGTCGTAAGATGCAAAGCAGAATCCAAGTCTCCATAGATTCCCAGTACCTTCAATGATCGTCGAATTGTACATCGACCAACTGATTTAGTTAGAAAATCAGCCGGATTTTCATTCGATTTAATGTAAAGAAGCGTTATTAATTTTGACTGAATATGTTCCCGAACAAAGTGAAGTCGTATGTCCATGTGCTTTGTTCGAAAACCATTTTGAGAAGTTTCACTATTCGCCAAATCAATAGCAGCTTTGTTATCGACATAAATCGGAATGTTGATCGGTGATTTCATAACGTTGACTTCATTGATTAAACTAGTAATCCAAACCATTTCACGACTAAGATCGGACAATGCTTTATACTCTGCTTCCGCTGAGGACAAAGAAATTGTATCTTGCTTGTTCGACTTCCAAGAAAGAAGATGACTTCCAGCCATAACGACGTATCCCGAAACTGATCGTCGTGTAACTAGACAATTGCCCCAATCCGCGTCAACGTATCCCTTCAGGCTAGATTCTTGCTGTTTCTTGTACGTTAAGCCGACTTTGCGCGTTCCTCCAATGTAAACAAAAACTTGCTCCGCTGCATTGTAATGTGTTAAACCGGATGTTCTAGGATTTGTGATAAAGCGCCTAACCGCATAAAATATATCAGGACAAG